GCTGGCCAAGCCCCCCAGCGGGGACCCTCACCCTATGAGGATGTGGCCAGGCTGGGTGAGGGGCTGATGGCTGTTTGCAGGCTGGCCAAGCCCCCCAGCGGGGACCCTCACCCTATGAGGGTGTGGCCATCCTGGGTGAGGGGCTGATGGCTGTTTGCATGCTGGCTATGGCCCCCAGCCACCCAAGCTCCCAGTGGAGGCTGGCTGGAAGCAGGTATCTGGGATTTATTTATCTTCTTGAAACTTTGTTGCCTTGAGTGGAGGCCACAGCCGGCCAGGGCAGGCAGGAAGCTTGGCTTCCTCCATCACCGGGGAAACCAAGTCTCCTGCTTGCTCCAGCTCCGTGGCTGCTGGCCGCCATCTTGGTTGGGTTAATTTGCATATAGTTGCTCTGATTGGCTGGTGGGCGTGACTTGGGGCATAGCAGAGGTGCAGTCAGTTTGCATGTTTCTCTTTTATTAGATTAGATATATGATTGCTTTTTGGAGAGAGGGGAAGAGAGAAACATCGATCGATTGCCCATTGCCCCCCCCCCCCCAATACCATCCCCTGTACACACCTGACCTGACTGAGAACAGAACCCTTGAAACCTTTAGGTGCTCAGGACGACCACTGGCAAAGGAGGGACCCCCAACCCTGTGGTCACTGGGGCCAAAGTGCCCCGAGGAGACCAGAGGTGAACAGGCATCCAGTGAGATAAAACAGGGCCCAGACCAAGGTCATGAGCAGAACAGAGAAGGATCCTCTACTGCAGCGGTTCTCAACCTGTGGGTCGCGACCCCTTTGGGGGTCGAACGACCCTTTCACAGGGGTTGCCTAAGACCATCGGAAAACACATATATAATTACATATTGTTTTTGTGATTAATCACTATGCTTTAATTATGTTCAATTTGTAACAATGAAATTGGGGGTCACCGCAACATGAGGCACTGTATTAAAGGGTGGCGGCATGAGGAAGGTTGAGAACCACTGCTCTACTGCAATGCATGAAGGGAAAGACATGAAACGGTGCCTCCAAAATTCGGGAGGGAAATTTTAAAGCTACCGTGAAATGTGAAGGTGGAAAAAGACAGTCAGATATCCAAGGTCTCAGAAATTTTCATCCCACCGTCCCTTTCTCTGGAAAGTCCTGGTGGGTATTTTGTTCAAAACAACAGGAAAAAGAAAGAAGAGGAAAATCTGGCGTATGGGAAATAGCAGTCCCCACAGGACAGAGAGGGGACTCCGCAGGATGGAGGAGAAGGAAGCAGTGACTCCACAGGGCGATCCACAGGTCAGAGGACCCCAGGCAGGGCAGCCCCTTCAGCTTGGGGTGTCCCAAGTCAGCCATCCTCTGGGCTGCCACCACACAGGTTCTCAGCGAGCTGGCTCACTCCTGTCTGTACCTGCCTTGTCCTGGCTGTGCTGATGGTCTCCTGTCCCTGCCCCCTGCCCCTGCTGGCCCATGACTGGAGCTGGGGTTGGTTGTGGGGAGACCGAGGAGGGGAAATAGTAGCCATACCCCATCATGCCTGCTGACCACCCTGGGGCCCCCTGGCAGTGGCAATCCTCCCCCCTGACCGCCCTGAGGTGATCTGAAAACTTGAGGATCCAGGGACATTTTCCAGTCATCTTCACCTTGCCCTATACACCTGGCTGTACAGGCTCCCATCTTCACAGTATTTGCATGGAAATAGTGGTTGATAAAATAATAAGGATTTTACTTAAAAGTAGGTAGTCATGTGCAGCATAATGACTTTCAGTCACCAACAGACCACATATTTGATGGTGGTCCCCTAAGATACAATGGAGCTGAAAATCTCCTCTCGCCCAGTGATGTCATAGCCATGGTAACTTGTAGCACAAGGCTTATGTGTGTGTGCTGATGCTGGCTGACCTGGTCCCCCCCTTCTGGAGCACTGACCTGGTCCCCTCCCTCCCAGATGCTGCCTGACCTGGTACCTCCCTCCCAGATGCTGGCTGGCCTGGTCACGTTCCTCCTGGAGCACTGACCTGGTCACCTACCTTCTGGAGCACTGACCTGGTGACCTACCTTCTAGAGCACTGACCTGGTCCCCTCCCTTCTGGAGCACTGATTTGGTCACCTCCCTCCCAGATGCTGGCTGACCTGGTCCCCCCCTTCTGGAGCACTGACCTGGTCCCCTCCCTCCCAGATGCTGGCTAGCCTGGTCCCCTCCCTCCCAGATGCTGGCTGACCTGGTCCCCCCCTTCTGGAGCACTGACCTGGTCCCCTCCCTCCCAGATGCTGGCTAGCCTGGTCCCCTCCCTCCCAGATGCTGGCTGACCTGGTCCCCTCCCTCCCAGATGTTGGCTGACCTGGTCCCCTCCCTCCCAGATGCTGGCTGGCCTGGTCCCTTCCTTCCCCAATGCTGGCTGACCTGCTCACGTTCCTCTTGGAGTGCCCTCAGTTCCCGCAGACTCTCCAGCTCCTGGAGACACCTGTTGGAGGTGAGGACCAGCCTGTGCACCTCTTCGTCCACTTGGTTGTACAGTCGGGAGGCAGCTTCAATGCTGTCTCTGGAAGAGAAGGCAGCTGTCTGGGGTCGCGTCCTGATCACTGGTTTGTTCACAGGCCGTCCCCTTAGGAACACGCTGTTGGTGATAACCTACTTAAAACACACAACTGCACTCTTCTTATGTCCTTCCCGTCTGACAAATGGAAGGCCCAGATATGGGGCCCAGGCCTGAGCAGGAACTTAAATGTACCTATAAGTGGTGACACCTGCTGGCCACATCCATGCAGGCACCTCCAAGGTGGGATGAAATGTGGGTGGGTGGACACAGCACCCCAGGATGGAGGAAGCACTTGGTCAGGACTCTGAATCCCACTGTAATGAGTTTTGTCTTCTACTCGAGCATTCCAAGGACTCAGCTAGTTTTCCTTGGAGTCCTTGAATGAGACACGCTCTGGTCCAGTTAAGCCTGTCTGTCAGAGGAATGGAGGTCTGGGCCCCTTGGACGCTGCCTATCACAGAGAGGGCTTCCCCTGTGGGGCAGAATGCTGTGCTTCACCCCAACGTGCCCCAGCGTTGACACTCACTGGCTGTCTTCACTGGCCCCTTGCTCTTTCCTCCTTAGCCGTGCCAGCACAGTACCACCTTCCAGGCGGAGGGTGACCAGCAGTGCATCTTCCAGGACTCGTTTCATTATGGCCTTGTGCTCACTGATTAACTCTGTGACCTCCTGCGGGGGTGGGAAGAAATGTGCATAAAAACCCCCTCCTCCAGGCAGTCCTCCCAGGTCTAATGTTGGGTAGGAATTAGATGTGACCAATCAAGCTGAGAGCACAGCAGGGTGGTCACACCCACCACTCAGTCCTAGCAGGAGGGTGGATAGCAGATTCCAGAATCCTCACCCAGGGGAGGGAAGTCTGAGACTGAGACTCATGGGCAGGGCCAGAGGGAAACTGAAACTCAGCATAGGAGAACCTGGTGTCTGGAGGTGCGCACACCCTGGGCACCCATGAGGTGTCTCCTGGTTGTTGTGGTCCCTCTGGCCAGCCCTTCTCTATATTGTGTTTGAATTGCTTGCTCCCAGCAGCACTCACTCATGCCTTGCTGGCACAGCATCAAACGTGGCGGTGCTGTTTCTCTTTTTGGCAGGGTGGGGTTTTTGGTCATAAGCGGGGAGGAAGTGGTCCTTTGGATGTTGTTTGCTAACCAAAAGGGATCTACAAAGCCAAAGGGTTTGAGAATCTCTGCTATGGATGGTGGTGAAACCAAATATTAACTTTCAAGTTTTGACTAAACTTCTGTTTCTACCCGTCAAATAAAATAAAATACCAAGGACCTACCTGAGCCGTGCTGAGGGTCCTGTGGGTGCTCAGGGAGCTGACTAAATTTTGTAAGAAAGCAATGGCGTCCTGGCAGTTTGTGACAAAGGTCTCCAGTTTCTATTGTGGTTTGAGAGGAAGAGACAAAAGCACAGTCTGTCAGACACTGAAGCAAGCAACTGTGACTTCCTACATTTAAACTGACCTCAGGTAGTAAGCCTGTCCTGGTGTCACCCAGAGACCTCTGGCTGTCTCAGAAGCTGGGAGCAGCACCCTCCCCGTCCAGGGCTGGATTTTCGCGGCATTCTTAAGCCCGTGCAGCATGGTCGTTAGAAACAGACTACAAATGGCACCTGTGAAAGGTGCGAGGCCAGGGGTGTCGATGCCTTTTCAGATTTGAGTAAAAACATCCATTAGGTGAAGTTCCCTGGTGACTGTGGCGCACGCAGCTGCTGTGAGCTGCTCCTTACCTGGCGGAAGCAGATCCAGTCACTGTGGCTGTAGGGAAAGGAGCCCTCGAGGTCTGCGGTCAGCTGGGAGCTGTCGACAAACTTGTGCAGGGCCTTCAGGGAGCCCACCACCTCACACTGCCAGGAGAGGGAAACACCGCTGGATGGCTCCTTCCTGGGAGAACTGCTGTTGATGGGTTCCGCTATGCTGCCTGGCTGGTGGCGTTAATGGACTGTGTGTGGTTGGATACAGGAATGAAGGGAAGAAGAAGTGAAAGGAGAGGGTAGCAAAGAGAAATGAAGGAGAAGTCCCCTTTAAGAAAAGACAAAAAAAGGCGGGGGACTGGGAAGGAAGCAAGGGCAAGATGATAAGGGGGGAAGGGAAAAGGCAGGAAAAGGAAAGGAAACGTGAGGAAGAAAGTGAGGATGTGCTGTTTCTGGCAGACAGAGTTGACCCTTCACAGACAAAACCACACACGCTGGACAAAGTGCAATGGCAACCGTTTGAAAGCTCTGAAGGGGGAACAAAGCCGGGCTTATTGTGAGCAACGGAAAGTGGATGAAGGAACCAGCACGGAGGGAGCATCCCGTTTTTACGGCTTTGGCGGGAAAGCAGGCTGCTAACGGTGAGACTGGAGTGGCTAAAGCTCTGATAGAAAATTGGCATCTTTCTGGCCCAAAGAACCAGAGGATAGATGGGGTGGAACGTGAAAAGCAATTCTCACAAGGGAGAAAGTGGGGGAAGGGAGCTCCGGAAGTCTGTAAACTGACCCTGAACCATGTGTACACGGGGAGGACTTTGAGCAACTGAAGGCAAAATCTGAACTGAACCTATGCAAGGGATGGTTTTCAGTTTGAGTCTAACCAAGTCAAATTCACGCTACAATAGCACTGTGTGGAGGTTTATAACAGCATCTAGAGTCTCTATAAAAGAATGTTCACAATGTCTAGAATACCATCCAAAATTACTTGACACACGAAGAATCAGGAAAATGTGACTCATTCTCAAAGGAAAAGATAATCAACAAAGGCCAACACTGAGAAGACCCAGATGTTGAAATTACTAGACAAGCACTTTAAAGCAACTATTATAGCTATGCTCAAAGATGTAAAGGAAAAACACTTGCAATTAATGAGAGGATAGGAAATCTCAGCAGAGATTATATTTAAAAACCCACTGGAAATTTCATAGCTGAAAAACACAATATTTGAATTTAAAAATTCACTAGATGGGATTAATAGCTGACTGGAGATGAGAATATGGAGTCAGTGACCTTTAAGATAGATCAGTGGGAACAATCTGATCTGAAGAAGAGAGAGAAAAAACATTTAAAAAAAGACATTCTCAGAGACCTATGAGATGGCATCAGTGTGTGTAACTGAAATCCTAGAAAGAGAGGATTGCCCCAAATAAGCAGAAAAAAAACATTTCAAGAAATAATGACTGAAAACTTTCTAAATTTGGTGATAGACATAAAATTTCAGTCATACCTAACAGGATGAATATGATGAAAACCATACCCAGTCACATTATAGTCAATTTGCTGAAGAAAAAAAGAGAGAAAATCTTGAAAGTAGCCAGAGGAAAATGACATTTCTAATAGATGAACAGTTACCTGAATTACCACGAACTTTTCATCAGCAAATAGGAAGGCCAGAAAAAAAACAGAATAACATCTTTAAAGTGCTAGATAAACAAACAAACAAACAAACAAACAGAAAAACTACTGTGCAGCCAAAAGTCCATATCTAGTGAAAATACCCTTCAAGAAAGAAAGCAGAGAAGTTTTTAAATAAAAGAGAAAGAAGCAAGAAAGAAAAGGAAAGAAAACAACTGAGGTGGAGAAGCAGATCCGATTTTCAAAAGTTCTGATGTTTATGCTCTGCTCGGCTCCAGCAAGAACTGAAGGGCCAGAGACAGGTCTCCAGGCTCCTTTGTGGCTGAGACCAGAACTTACATAAATTCTTTCAAATGTTTTATCTCATCTGGGTGCCTTACTATTTAATCTTATGCATCACTCAAAGTCAGATCTAATGCTGAGGGTCTAAAACCATTACCTGAATTGCTGCATCCTTGTCAGGCCTGAATGCTGAATCTTTATCCACCAACAGCAAAATACTATGAATTATGGGTGGAGATATGTTCTGAAATAAGTAAAAAAATATTAATTAGCTTTCTAATTTTTAACTTCATTGAGTTGATAGAATTGTCCAATTTTGATTGTGCTACTTCCACTTTGATATTTTGCCAAAATATCTAGAATGCCTTTGCTCTAAGTGTAAATTAGTTGCCCTTATGAATTATTTAATGTATTCAGGTTTATTGGTTGTAATTTACATATAATAAAGTTCACCCTTTTTAGTGTACAGTTCTCTGAGTTTTGACATAACTTACAGTCATGTAACCACCACCACTATGAAGATAAGGCACAGGTTAGCATCCCCCAAATTTCTTCACACTCCTTTGCAGTCAAGCTCCTTGGCCCCTGGATACCACTGCTCTGTTTTCTGTCTCAATAAATCTACCTTTCCAAGTTGTCAGATAACTGGGATCACACAAGTATTGGTTTCTTTCCCTTAGCATAGTGCACTTGAAATTCATCCATGTCGTGAACATCAGCAGTTCATCCCTTTTCATTGTTGAGTAGTATTCCACTGCACGAAGGTACAACCGTTTGTTGTTCCATTTACCAGTTGCAGGACATTGGGTTGTTTCTAGCTTTTGGCAATCATAAGTAAAGGCACAATACACACTGTGTGAACGTAAGTTTTTATTTCTCTTGGGGAAGTAGGTAGCAGATTGCTAAGTCCTATGACAAGTTGTGTTGGACTTCTGAAGAAACGGCCCATTGTTTTCCAGAGGGGCTGGACCATTCTGCATTCCCACCAGCAATACCAAGCCTTTGTTCTTGTCAAGTTTTGCTGTTGTGGTATGTGTATTACTCATTTTGGTTTTAAGTTGTGGTTCTCCAATGACTAGTGATGTTGAATATATTTTCATATGCTTATTTGCTATTCGTACATACTCTTTGGTGAAGTGTGTTCAAATCTTTTGCCCATATTTTATTGGGTTGTTTGTTTTTTTTGAGTTTTGAGGCTTTATATATCCTGGGTACACGAATATCAGATATGTGTTTGCAAACGCTTTTTCACAGTCCATAGTTTGTATTTTCATTTTAGTAACAGTGTCTTTTGAGAAATTTTTAACTTTTGATGAAGTCCAATGTATCCTTTTTTCCTTTTATGGATTATGTTATTGGGGTCAGAGGTAAGAAATTTTTGCGTAAACCAAGGTCATGAAAATGATCATGACCTTGTGTGACCTTCTGGTGGTTTTGTAGTTTTAGATTTTATATGTAGGTCTATGACCCATTTGTCGTTAATTTTTATATGAGGTATATGTTGAGGATTTTTTTCCCTTTTCTTTTGCATACAGATGTCCAATTGTACTAATCCTATCTTATTTTTTGATGTGTTTATGACTTTAATCAAACCTCCTTGGTTTCTGTTTGCTATTATATTGAGGCCAGATTATTTAGCAATAAAGCACTTTTTATTAGTGCTTCTTCATTCATATTCTCTGAAGCTTTACTTTTTCAAAGTTTCTTGTAGTGTGATAAACAGGTTTTAGGTAATTTCTTATGTTGAAATGAACTTACTGGATGGGCCTCAGAACTAACTGATATTTGTATTAATTTCATCTGATATACTTCTACTTTTGTTAAGTGGCTTCTTATGGAGGATATTTTATAAATATTTATTGAATAAATAAACCATAGAAAGCCCAAAGAAAAAAATCATTCTTGCTTTCTCATTATAGAGCCATATTCTATTTCTCTCACTTAATTTAGTTAAACTTTTTGATTTATCATGCATCCAAAACAGTTTTGCAGAGTGTTTTATATTTCTCATATACTCCTATTTGTTCTATTGCAAACAAATTAATATTAATTCTCAAACAAATGAGAACAGAATCAATGCTTGATAACAATTACCCCAATTAGTGTTTAGTAGTTATGTGTTGTGTGTGTGAGGGATAGCAAATTCTTAGGATTTTCTTCCACCAAGGGAAAAAAAATCATTACTTCCTTTTAAAATGGGATATTTTTTATGGTATTTGAACTTTAATAATTTAATAATTTGAAGTATAGTTACTTGAGGGGCTACCTGTAGACAAGGGTGAGTGTGGGGGGCTGGTCCCCATGAGGAGGAGACAGGCCAGGACCCTCCAGAGGGGCTTCTGTGGGTGGGGCTGTGAGCAGCTGTCTGCTTTGGCCTTGGGGGTTCATCAAGGCTTCCACTGGGGCACTAGCATTGGAGTGTCTGAAACCCAGGTGGGTCACGGGTATACCCAGCCAGGACTTCCTGTGTGGCACATGGGTCTGGTAGCTCTCACAGCTCTTTCATGATTATAAAGCTTTTCCCAACAAGCTACATGAAGCAAATAAAAGGATTTCTAGGAATTTGCTCAAAACTTCTGGTTACATTTTTCAAAATATTTGATCAATGGTGACATTTTAGTTTGGTTTTGGAGGCAAAACAAAATTGCTTTACTCCTAAGTTGCTATTTATATGGATGGTGACCTGATGTTACTACCTGAGGCATTCAACCACTAACTTTAGGGAAATGCATTTCTGAGTTATTAACACATGTTGTCTTATTGTCCAGTTGAATCACAACCAACCAGGAAGTTCATATTAACAATCTTTTAGCAAAATCGAAGGACTCAGAGGACATCTTAGGGTCATCAACATTTCCATGACATCTTCAAACAGAACTTCCTTCAAAATCTTTCTGGAAAGCAATCATCTATCTATTTTCTTAAAAAACTTTACTTGGCAATTTCTCAGTCGTTACTGTTATATAAAATTGCGTGTAATTACGCAAGGCCAGAATCTCTAAGGAATTTTCCCAGTCTTGAGCAGAATATGAACACAAAACTGGATGACATCCTGGTTTCTCACTTTTGAGCCCAACAGCTGGTTGACAGCAGGGGATATGAGCAAACAGATTGTGTGCTTCTGAAATGTCTCATGGAAACTGAATTTTGGCACGTCAAACCTGTGGCTGTGTCAGAGGAGGTAACTCAGGCTTTACAGGAATGCAATGTGAACCTTTTTTGCAGAAAGCTAAGACTGAGCACGTACATTGCTCTGAAATGCAGACGTCACCCATCAGGTTTGCTCTGAGACCCTTTCACAAGTGCTTGTTTCCCCTCCCAGAATCTGTTCACTGGCTTTTCTTCCTGGGTCAGGCCAGGAGCAGCACCACCGCCTAGATGCCTGGACCAGGGATGTCCCTGCTCCTGCTAACCTGTCCATCCCGCTGCCTGGCCTCAGCTCCGGGTCTCGTGTCTCCAGCCTGGAGGTTTCCATCATCTCCCCAGGTCTCTCCGGCCTGCCTCACTGGCCCCAACACTTACACTCAGACATCTCCCAACCTCTGTCCCCGAGTCCTTCCTGAGAAGAACTTGCACGTGGCATCACTAAACTTAAGAAACTGGGTGAGAACAGCGGCCGGTTCTGTCTCTGCACCTTTAGCAGAGACAGAACACAGGACACTGGTTTTGGCTCAGGGAGTAGCTAGGGCAGCTGGAGAAGATTCCAGGAGCCTCTGACACCCCAGTCCCCAGCACAGTGCTTGACACACAAGGGGCCCTGTGTACTAGTACATACGTCTGAGGGAAGCTGATGTTCTTTGGTTCCTGTCTAGCCCTGGGTACCTGGAATAAGCCAGCGGTGCCTTTATCCCCATTTCAGGGACTCCCCAATCCTCTTTGGATTTTATTCATAAACCAGAATCCAGGGTGAGGTCTTTGTGGGGGGGACCGTGAACCTGCTGGACAACCTCCTTGAACCAGTCCCAGAGGCACCCAAGGTCCAGGGCCCTCATCCTCACAGCAAGTGGCAGCCACCCCTCCAGGCCTCCATCCTGTCTGGTCTGTACTCTGAGGTAGCAGATGTTGGATACAGACATGCTAAGAAAGGAAGGGGTCGTTACCATTCCAGCTGAGACAGATCATGACACCACGAGGCCTGCACAGGCTGAGCCTGCTGGTTCTGCTGTTAAGGTCTGCAGCGAGGACCAGGGGGCGGGCAGGACACTCCTTCCAAGAGGGCTCTGTGCCCACGGCCCACCTAGCCCTGAGACACTCGGGCACTGAGGATGGGAGTGACCCCAACTCACCTGCAGAGCTGCCAGGGCCTGGGAGAGGGCAGGGACGGCCGGACTCTTGCGTGTGTCCACCAGGATGACCAGCCCCAGGTCCCGCACCTCCTTCCTGGAGAGAGGAAGACAGATGGTGTTAACCATGCAGGTTAAATCTCTTCCCAGAAGTGTTTCTCCATCTCTCAATGAGATGTCCTCACCCAGATCCTCCCGTCTTTAGAACTCAGAAGTCTTGACTTTACACACATCACCCTCTGCCTCCTGAGGAATCAAGCTGCTCATCGGTTGGAAGCAGGCAACAGGCCTCATGTCCATCAGCATCTCCAGGCCAGGGGAGCTGCTGAAGTCTCAGAACTGTCTTCCCACCACTGCTCCGCTTCTCCTCCCACTGCACGTTGAGGTCAGCATGCTCTTCTGGCCCAGGGGACCTGCTCCCTTTGCACTGTCTCTGGTCCTCACGCTCCTGCCTCGCTCGGTGCCACCAGAAAGTGGCCATCTGCCCTGGGGCTGTGTGTGCTCTTCCTTCTATCTGGAAAGCCGTCCTCTTCTTGTCTGCACTCACCCTCCTCCAGGACACAGCACGTGGGGCAGCCTCCTCCCTTGCTGGGGATGCAGCTCCTTCCCAGTACCGTGGACTTGTCTTATGCCGGGAGCTGCGGTAAACTGGGTTCCCGTGTGTGTTTCCTTGAAGGCAGGAGCCATATTCTATTCTCTTTTGTATTTCCAGGTAAGTGTGGATGGATGGATGGATGGATTCCTTCACTGCATAGGTCGGATGAATGACAACCAACATTCTTCCTAATTTTAAGATTTTTGTGTATCTAAGAGTCTGATGGTGGTGCATTTATAAGGCACACCCACTGCACAAATGCTCCTTGTCACACACCTGCAGTAACAAGATACTGCTGGGCGCTTTTCCTAATAATGTTGACATCTCAGGTACCTCATTCAGAGAGCTGAAGGCGGGTGTCACGTCCCACGATGGTGAGTGAGTGGATTTCAGCTTCTCAAGGTGTAGTATTCTACCGAGATGCTAACAAAATTACAACGCTTGTAGGGAAAGAACCAGCCAAACCAGGGGCCCCAGAACGAGTTTGTCCTGGTGCTTTAGGAATGATCCTTAACAGAGGCTTTCTCCCAGAGCATCGTGGGCTGGTGAGGACGCCTTCTCTGATGAGGAGACGCGGGCTGCCTGAATTTGCAGTGGCAAGGCAGAAAAAGCAGAGGGCTCAATTCCTGGTTCAAGTCCTGGCCCTGCTGACCCCATACGCACTCTCAGCCTCAACTCACAGATGCTTCCTTACAAATGGAGAACCCAGCACCGCTAGCCAGCTTTGCAAAGCGCACAGCTCTCCACTGCGGCTCCCACTAAAGAAGCTTCTGTTAACAGAAAGCATTGTTATCTGAAGGCTTTGGCGGTGTTTACCTGAAGCTTACAAGGAATAAACTAAGGTGAGAGGGAAACTATTCTCTTTTTCAGTGTAGTTTCAATATATATTGAAATCTGTGCTGAAGGACAAATTTGAAATCCCAGTCTCCCCCAAAGGCAGCGAAACTAGTGCCCTGCAGATAACGGGGAACCTGCTCTGTGCAGGGAGGGTCAGGGAGAATATTTTAATTCTTTTTTCTACCTTAATGTTCCCGCACTGATCCTACCTATGCTGTTTCAGAAGCAATTAAAATAGAAAGCGACACACCGCAAAGAACATGAGATCACAGGTGGTGATGCACCCTGGGATGTGCCCACATGAGCTCACATCATGTGATGGGATAGCGTGCCATGGAACAGGTTCTCATATCACATGGCCGTGTGCCACATAACATGTGCCCCACAAGCTCACATGTGTATCACATGACATGTTCTCATATGTGATCACATCGCATGATGTATGCTATGTGACTGCCGTGATGTGATGTGGTGGAAGACGATACTCTGGATTCAGTCCAGGTACTTCAGGGAGATTATTTCTAAGCCTCGAACGGGCCTCTGAGGCAGCTGTCACCATCCTGTTTTATGCTCAGCCAGGATTTGGAGACGGGCCGGTGCCCTTATGACTGAGCCCATCCTCCTCTGGGGGGTGCTTCCACCCAGCATCCCGGGGGACTCTTGGTCTGGCAGCTGTGAGGACTATCCAAAGTGTGTCGGCATCTGATGAAATCGGGAGGTGGGGGGGGGGGGCTAAATAACGCACTTGAACCATCCTGGACTCCAGCTCCCCTGTCTCTGTCCTTGGTCCACGGACAGACCCGAAATCATCGCCCCGGAGAAGGCCTCAAACATGCTGCTTTCCAGGCAGACCTGCTCCACACCGTGACCTTCCCAAGGACCCAGGAGGCCTGGTCCTCTGCGAGTTCTGTCAGGAGGGCGCGTCTCTCTTGAGGAGCTGGCACACTTCTTTCTGGCCTTTGCCATTGCCCACTGAACATAATGCTCCATTAGCACAAGTCAGTCTTTCCTCCTTCCTAGTACCAGGATCTACTCATTTGAATGATTTCTTCACCCGTTTATTCTAAATATCATCTTCATATCAGTTGATATCTTTATCCAAGGCCACTTCAAGATGTTTTAGAAAGAGGTGGAGTATAAAACATGTAAATAAGGAATGCTGAACAATGCAGAGCGACAGAGAATTCAGGGCTTGAGTGTGTGGCAGAGCCTCAGTTCAGAGGGCAGAGGTCAGGGTGTGCAGAAGGGACTATGTGTGGGGGAGGAAAGGGGAAAATGGAAGATGGGGTGGGGCAGAGAGCAGCTAGACAGCAGGAGACTGAGGGGCAGGTGGGAGTGTGCTATCCAGGTCACAGGGTCCCGGAGGCGACAGACCAAAACCCTTGCATGAGGACGCACACTTGCACGGGTTTATCCCCAATGGGGTCTGAAAGGTGGAAACCTGGGTTTATCCCCAAAGGGGTCTGAAAGGTGGAAACCTGGCTCAGTCCCACCTGGGGATGCCATGGAGGTACTTCAGCAGGAGGGTCAGCTCGGCACTGGACATGTGTTGGCTGGACCAGAGTGGGCCTCTTGTGCAGACCTGCACTACTGCTCTCCCCTGACGGTCTCGGGTCCCTGCAGGAATAGAGGGCATTGTGAAAGGGGGCAGCCCCAGTGGGGCACACATGGCTTCAGGATTGAAAAATCGTGAGCTCGGGTCTGCAAACTGTTATTGACTTAGATGTGAGATCGGCCAGGAGAGGAGAGCCTGGCCTCCACCTGGGCAGGTGAAGACCATGTGCACCTGAGAGAGCGATGGCCACTGTTATCATCTGGGTGTTCGTGTTCCCCCACATTCACATGCTCTAACGCTGAAGCCTGATTTGATGGTGCTAGGAAGTGGGCCTTTAGGATGTGCTTCCATGAGGAGGGTGGGGCCCTCGTGAGTGGGATTAGTGCTCTTATATGAGATCCCACAAGGCTCCCTTGCCCCTCCCACCATGTAAGGATAGAGTGAAAAGGCGCCAGCCATGAACCAGGAAGAGGTCCCACACCAGAACCTGATGTTGGCACCTTGATCTTTAACTTTCAGCCTCCAGACTTTGTGAAATAAATTTCTGTTTTTATAAGCTACCCAGTCTGTGGCATTTGTTATAGCAGCCCAAACAGAGTAAGACAGCCGTGCTCACCTGGGAGGGTGACGGCCCCAGACTGCAGCAGCTCCAAGTTGATCTCCAGCACCTGCCTGGGTACCTGGCTGGGCAGGTCTCCTGTGCTGGGGGGCTGTCCCTCATCCTCGGAACACAGCAGCTCAGCAAGCAGGTCAGGAGACCTGCGGGGGTCGTGTCCTCGGGAGCTGCAGTCACCTGTGGGGACACCGGCTGGACAACAGAAAGAGACCTGGTCACAGATGAAGAATTGCTCTGGTTTAAAGGTAGATGCTCAGCTTGCTACAAACGTGAGGATAAAAACGTGAGTGGCAACAGTGGGTTTCCATGAGAACTTTCCCCATTTCTGGTGGAACCGCAGGCGTGCCACACCATCTGGGACAGGTGTGCTCCTGAGAAGCGGGGCATAAACAAACACGTGCAGTGAAATATTTCCGTTCCACCGGGAGTGCTCACTGCCTGAAGACCTCAGGGAGGAACATTTTATGCTGGATGGTGTCATACTCATTTATTTTGTAATAGAGGCTTTGCTTTCCTGTCCCTAAGCCTCGTCCATAACTTCCTTCAGTGCTAACATCATGTAACTGCACAGCTTTCTCACTAGAGCTGGGCCTGAGAAGTCCACAGCATTCCTTTGTACATACAGCGTTTTAACAAAGCTTTATTGAGATATATTTTACATATCATAAAATCCATCCACTTCACGTGTATACAATTCAGAGACACGTTACCAAGTCTGCAACCATCACCATAAATCAGTTTTAGAACATTTTTGTCCCTTGAAAAACACCCATTTATGATAAACCTCCTCTCCCACTGCAGCTCCAGGCCCCCTCCTGTCTACCTTCTGTCTGTAAATCTACCTGTTCTGGACCCTTCATATCAATGGACCCAAACACGATGTGGTCTCTTACCTGGCTGCTCAGTCAGCAGAATTGTTTGTGAGGTTCACCCATGGTGTTGCCTGTGCCAGAGCCTCATTCTTTCCCGTGTGGGTCTCACTCCACCGCCTGATGGACCAGTTTTGTCTATCCCTCCACTAGCTGATCGATTCCAATCGCACAGTGTCCTTGAGAGTGAATTTTTCATGTATGCTCATATGTTCTAGGACACATCACTGGCCAAGGGCAAGACCAATTCTGCAGCGAACCCAAGCTTTCTCAGATGGACAAGGGGAGCAGACATCACATTCATGTGAGCCTTTTCTCATCAGACATCATCCTAGTTGAGATGGTCATTTGTGTAAGCTTGTCCTGCATTCAGCCTGCCCCACAGTGGGAGGAGAGGTCTGAGGTAGGGGCTATAATATTAAAATGGCCAGGAATGAAAGCAGTACCCACATGTGGCTAATGAGAAACAGTTGTTCAGTTACCACTGGTTGTATAACAATGAATGATCTGAGTATAATATTCTTAAAATAAATTCTGAAATGCTACATTTATAGTTTTGAAATTATATTAATTTTATGTTTAAAGAGGAGACAAAGTAAAGTCTCAGGAGCTGAAGCAAACCAGAGCAGAGGAGGAGCAAGCTGGAGCAGGGGAGGAGCAAGCCAGAGGAGGGGAGAAGCAAGCTGGAACAGGGGAGAAACAGGCTGGAACAGAGGAGGAACAAGTCAGAGCAGAGGAGGAGCAAGCTGGAGCAGGGGAGAAGCAGGCTGGAACAGAGGAGGAGCAAGCCACAGCAGAGGAGGAAGCCAGAGCAGAGGAGGAGCAAGCTGGAGCAGGGGAGAAGCAGGCTGGAACAGAGGAGGAGCAAGCCACAGCAGAGGAGGAAGCCAGAGCAGAGGAGGAGCAAGCTGGAGCAGGGGAGAAGCAGGCTGGAACAGAGGAGGAGCAAGCCACAGCAGAGGAGGAAGCCAGAGCAGAGGAGGAGCAAGCCAAAGCAGGGGAGGAGCAGGCTGGAACAGAGGAGGGGCAGGCTGGAACAGAGGAGAAGCAGGCTGGAACGAGGAGGAGCAAGCCAGAGCAGAGAAGGAGCAAGCTGGAACAGGGGAGGAGCAGGCTGTGCCTGTGGCTACAGAAGAGTGAATGTGCTAAACGTCACTTGTTTAACTGAGGCGTCAGCAAGGGGTTCCAGCTGAGGCACTTTCCCATATTAATGAACACGTGGTGTCTGGGACCACACCACAGACTTGACTCCAGGGACAGCAGGGTGCGAAGGGGAAGCAGGTACCAATGGTCCACTGGTCACTGGTTGGGTAATGAATGGTCCTGGCCCTCTGACCAGATCTTTGGTACCACTGCCCACCTCCTCATGGGTAGAAGCAGCCTCCACTTATTCTGTGTCTTCCTTCCTTCCTGGATGTTGGACACCACACAGGTGGGTTCTGCTTCATCAGTGAGGAGGGAGAGGAAGTGGAGTAAGTAGGGAAGGGGCACTGTCTCCAGGCAGTAAACTCCGAGGTCAGGTCCCCCAGATAGCCCTAGTGTTACCTCACAGGGAGTCTGGATAGTGAGTAGACGACACCCACAGGCCTGAGAGAAATGATTATACTTGAGAATTCAACATTTCTGATCATGAGATCTTGAATCTTCTTAGATGAGCTACTCGACACCCAGGGAGCCAACTGGCCCCATCTCTGCTCGGCAGTGCTGGGTTGTTTAAACTAAACCTGCCGCCTTCGTCACTGTGTGATATCATCTGTTTGTCGTCGAATGTCTGTGACCCTCGCGACAACACTGTCAGTGACGCTGTGCCCGGATGTCCACAGAAGCATCTGCACAGCCAGCATTTCTCCGAGGGGAGAAATTTACGTGATTACGTTTTACGTGGACACTTGGGGTGAAAACATACGCTCTGTCTCCTATTGCGGCTCTGCTGCGGACATGAGTTTTCATAGTGTCACCCAGTGTGTGTGGGGAAATGTGTGTGTTTTCTGTCCAATATGAATGGGAAAGGAAATGGACAATAAAGGACAGGCTAGGACCTAGAAACAAAGGTCAGGGAGTTACTGCTTCATTTTAATTTAATTTTAATCGAATTGCAGAGAGGCAATAGAGTGTTTTCTGTGTCAGCCCTAAGTAAATAATTGTACTCTAAAACTCTGTAGTAAGCTAGTGTGTGTGCCATGCTATCCGAATCCTGTCAGAATTCCCGGCAGGAGCACACAGCCTAATTTCTGGAGAGGCCCTGTACGGGTGTGGCAGACAGTCCCACCCAGCACTGTGAGGACCCCAAAAGCCCTCGATGCAAACAAGATCGGAGCCCCCACACTGGGCCAGCTGGGAGGCCAGGTGAGGAGACCAGCGAGGGGCCCTTACACCCATTACTGTATTTATTGTATGGGGCCGCTAGCGCTAAACCTGCTGAGGCCTACGGCATGTTTATATTTTTTGCTTCTTTCCAAAGTCATTGTTTTTGTTCTTCACAGAACATCATACAAAGAACGAAAGAAAGAAAGAAAGAAAGAAAATAGCTGAAATATTTGACTTAGAAATATGTTGCCATTCTTTCCTTATCTTTCTTTATGTGCCTCACTCACTCCTCTATATAATTATTTTCCCTCCAGAGCCTAAGGAAAAGTACTCTAGGAATGGATGCTCAGAAACTTACTGAGGGCCTTCAAGTGAGTGTAATGAAGGAGCATAAAGTCATCGACCCGGTGCCATTAAAAAATGAACATTACGCCTGATTTACCTACGCGAACAAGTATTAATACAATGTTGGGGTGTATGGTGACCACAAAAGGATGTGTCACTCCCAGAACCTGTGAATGTGACTGTATTTGGAAGAGGGTTTTTGCAGATGTGAATCCATAAAGTTTAGGGTGGGTCCTAAATCCAACGACAAGTGTCCTCATAAGAGAAAGGAGAGAGTCGTTTGAGGCATGGACAGACGGACAGGGAGAAGAGCCAGGCGTGCGCCCACAAGCCAGGAATGCCTGGACCCCCAGCAGCGGAAAAAGCAGAAAGGACCCTCACTTAGAGCCTGTGGCTCTGTGAAGCCAGACTTCTGGCCTCCAGACTGTGAAGGGATGAATTTCTTTATCTTAAGACAGCATATTTATGGTACTTGGTGTAGCAGCCACAGGAAAGGAACACCTGTGAGCATTATTTTCAACAGTCAATATGGATATGCAGACAGGCTTCTTTCTACTCAGCCAAGTGACCAAACTAAATGAGACAGGGTGCCGAGGGGAGGGGAGGAAATGAGGGAGAAAGGGGACAGTGGGGGAGGGGAGAAGAGCGTTTACCTTCCTCCTTGGTGCAGCCAGAGGGGTGGCTGCAGCCCAAGTCTCTGGTCCCCACAGCTTGTCCTCCTAGGTGACCTCCGGGTCCGGCGCTGGCCGCATGGGGGACATCACCTCGGAAGCTCTTGAGGGATCGGTCCCAGGACTGAGACCTCCTGGGAAGGGTCCTCCCAGCGGCCCTGGGACAGCTCTGTCGTCTCCGGATCCCCTGGCGTTCTCCCTGGGGGCCGGGGGTTTCTTTCTGGGGCTGGCTGGACCCTGGCGCGGCCCTCTTGCTCCGGGTGCTGCAGGCATCATCCACGAGGGACTCCTCGGAGCTGGAGCCCAGGGGCATGGGGTTCTGCAGGGCCTCCATGTAGGAATTCCTGAACCAGCGTCTGGCCTCCACAGCGGCAGGAGCCCCAGGCGGCCGCCTGCTGGAGCTCAGGCTGCCTGCGTCCTTGGGGGAGGTGAGAGCCTGGGGGCCATCCTTCTTATCCACAGGGTCCGGTCTCCCTCCTGGTCCTTCAGGGCTTGCACGGGGCTCCCACGGGCTGACATCAGAGCTCCTGGGCAGGGTCCCAGGGCTTTTGCACTCAGCTCTTTTCAGGGAAGGAAGGTGGCTGGGCTGGTCACTGTCCTTGTGCCCCCTGCAGTGAGGCAGGGTCGGAGTGTTGCTGGTCATGGCTGGCGCCGGGGCCAGGGCCTCGGAGGCACTGCTGGGTGGCCGCTCAGGCCCGGGATGGCTGGGGCAGTGGGGCAGGACTCTTCCGCTGATGGGTACAAACACAGGGACTGTGACGTTGCTCCATGGGGTGCGGTAGACAGCAGAGCCTGAGGTCAGCAAGCAGTTTTTCAAGAGGACACTGTTGCGTTCCCTGTTCACCCGGTCCAGGAACTCTCCTGTGAAGACACAGCCATACATGGCCTCAGGCACAGCAACTTCCTCTGAGCCTCGTCCCAGCCGAGAGAGGCATTTTAAGACCAGCCTGGCTGACTGCTTCCCCACCGATGTGACCTGCAGGTAGAAGTCCCCGGGCCTGAGCCTGACTCCGCGCAGGGACGCCAGCTGCACCACCACCTTCCCGTGGATGCACAGTGGCCAGCCTTCGTGGAAGAAGATGAGGCCTGTGTACCTGGCCTGGGACAAGAAGGGGAGGGAGATTAGCGGCTGGCATGGAACCTGTCAGGACCCCTGGTGTCCATGCAGCAGGGAGAGTGACCAGTGCCCCCCTTGTACCCCAGAACCCCAAATAAATCATCAGGGCTGAAAACAGGGGGGTTCTTTTCGATTCAGTGAAGTCAGTCAAAACCTCACTTTTACAGCGCCTTCTGGGAGGCTGGGGGAGGTGGGCAACAGGACAGGAGGAAGGAAGCCACCCAAGCACAGTCTCATGCAGCCGAGCCCAGGGGACCCTGCAGGAAGTGACTCCTAGGGTGGTCCCACTTGGACTTCCACACCCTCGCTCCCCAACCCCCACCCTCTGTCTAAACTCCAGAGGCTTCTGGGTGCCCC